CCCCAAAACCCCAAACCCCAAAACCCCAAAACCCCAAAACCCCGCTGGAAGATGGGAAACTTGAATAATTTTAATCAGGTTTGTTAGAAATGTTAGCAGATGTGTGTGATAAAGAGGAAAGTAGCAGGAGATTGAAGGATTTCTTGACGAAGAATGAAGCTGAGGTCCAGAAGTCGACTGATTTAGACGATTTGATGAAGCAGCAAGTGGAGCTTATCAAGATTCATAAATAAAGTACAAGAGTCGTTGTTTAAAATTGAGAATAAGTTAACAGAGGTTGATCCAAGCATGGTGAAGGAGAATCAGTCTTCTCAGGTTTCCTTTGTGAAGCCCCCTGACTTCAAGAAAACTTTACAGAAGAGAAAACCCATTCTATATGAAAAATTCTGTAGTCAAGCTACTTATAGTCCCTTTGAAGACACATCTTCAAAGGAAAATATTCATAAGAAGAATTTCAATTTCACAAGTCCAAAGGAATCTCTAAAGACTTTGAAGCCTCCAAAATCAAGCATGAAATATCTTCCAAGCAAAGCAAAGTAAGTCTGGACAGTTGTAAAGTCTAATTAAGTATAGCTCCAGCTCAACATCTCATAAAAGAAGCTTCACTATTAATTTGATGGACAGTAAATCTAACAACTATATTCCCGACTCTTCAAATAATAACAACGAGTTGCCTCAGGAGGAGATTCTTCAGGCATCTTTACAAGCTAGTTCTAAAAGAATCTCGATCACCCATCTAAAGAAGCTCCCTGAGCTTGTGAGAATATCTAAGCAATATGAAAGAATCATTAGAGTTTATAGTAGAGTATTGAGCATCTTCAGGGATGTTCATGACCACAAGCAGTATGCTTCTCTTAGTTCAAGCGCCAATGTTCAGAAGTATCTCTCTAAAAACCCAACAAGACAGCTTGCTGAGGTCATAAGCATCACGAAAAGGTTGAAAAGAGACGCAGTGAGGGTCAAATTTTTGAAGCAGATCTTTCTGAAGTACATGCTCCCAAACTCGATCGATTCGAAGTGGCCAGGAGAGATAAAAGCAATTTATCACTATTTATCTAATTTGATGAGATATTTATCCCATCTTGACTCTGAAGCTGAGAGTAAGTATGATTATAATGACTATAGAAATAAAGTATTCCTCAGTGAACGATTCGAAGAAAAGAGCTATGAAGAATTCGAAAACAGAATTTCTTCTGAAATGGCCAAACTCAGTTAAGAATTGTGGGTAAAAAGATGTACAAAAATGTTTTGTTTCCCACACAATATACAAAGAAGGTTGCAAAACAGAAATTTAAAAGAGTGCATCAAAAATAGCTCTCCAAAACTCTTCTCTAAGACAATGAAGACAGTTGAGAATGGCATAGTAACCTCTCAGAATCTCAAGTTAGCTATAAAAGGTGAGTCTTACTCTTATAAACCTTTCTAGATCTCCAAAGAAGTGGCAATGCATTTATGATAACAAAATCTGTGAAGACTCAAAGAACTAAGAAGCCTCGAAAAATTCAGGCAGAGAAAAGAAAAAGCAGCTCTGGGAGAAAACTTATTAAGAATATGTCATGAGACTTATCTCAACAAATGAAAACTCTAGACCAAACCAACGGCGACAAACTGTTGAAGAATCAGAAAAATGATAGCTCAACAAAAACTAGGTAACTTTAGCAATGATCTCTTTAGGATTACTAAATTCAGAAGGAGCATGGACTTCTTAGACACACAATCTGATAATTTTGACACTAATTCAAAGCAAAGTGATGTAATGGAAACAGTCTCCTCAAGACATAAAGATAGAAAAGAGAAATTATTACAGAGAAACCGTTCAAATTGAGCACTTTTAATGTCAGCTGAGAAGAAATTTGTATTTGACGGCTGTATAGACTTAAAGATAATCTCTAATCGTAACCATGATACCCTTGAAGACTTAAAGAGATGTCCTGCTGCGTTCTATTATAACCCACAATCTCCGAAAGATGTTGGATCCCCTCCTGGGACAATTTCAGAAGCTCTCAACGACCCTCCTTCACCTCGATTTGGAGAACTTTCCTTTGGCGATAAGTTATAAAATTGAGTAAGAATTCAAATTTGCTAATTTTATGATGCTGAATTAACTTCTACTCCTACTTCTGCTTCTTCTCCTGCGGTGTTTCTTCTTCTTATCTTTCTTAAAGGCCCAGTCAACCTTGATTTTCTGCCCAGCGATTTCCTCTCCATTCATTCTATCTATAGCTTTCTGTGCGTTTTGCTTTTCATACTCGATAAAAGCGTATCCCTTGGCATATCCAGTTCTTTTATCAATATTGAAATGTAGGGTTTTTATTGGGCCAAATTCAGTGAAAATATCTAACAAATCTTCTTCTTGGAGTTCTTCATAAATTCCTGAGACTCAAATAACGTTCTCCCCCACTATAAAGTTACTCTAGCTCTTACATTTTGTTTCTTTGGCTTCCTCCATTTTTAAAATAATATTGTCAATGAGTGGGCTAATTTTAGGGGTTTTGGGGTTTTGGGGTTTTGGGGTTTTGGGGTTTTGGGGTTTTGGGGTTTTGGGG